AGACTAGGGGTAGGAAGGCTATGTGAGGGACACAGCTATGGAAACATAGGTGCCACATGGTAAGCAAAATTTTCATTTGTTGTGTTGCTGTGAAAAACCTTATTAAAAGAGCTTCCAATGAGAGTACTTGATTAATAACATAGTTCATGTCAATAGAAATAATTTGCTTTTTGAAAAAGTCACCATGTGATACAGTTGAATTCACATTAATGTTATCGTTCATTTTGAATGATCTGCGAAGTATTTTAAGAGAGACCTGGGGAAGTAAATCCATAAGTAGTTTAACATAAATCAAGGTGCAGTTAATTTTTTTTCTATTAGAAATATATTACAAAGATTCTGCCATTTATAACAACATGAAATAACCTGGAGGACAGTATGCTGAGTGAAATAAGCCAGACATAGAAAGGTGCATGTTGCTGATCCCCCTCATATATGGAATCTAGAAAAGTAGAATTCATAGATACAGAATAGAATAGTGGTCACCAGGGGCTTGAGGTGGGGAACATGGGGAAATGTTAGAGGGTGACAACCTGCAGTTACAAGGTGAATAAGCTCTGGAGACCTCACGTACACCATACTCTACACATTGGTGTTCTCACTGCACTCCCTCCCCTCCCCACACACAGCATAACTCTTTGAAGTGTGGATATGCTAATTAGCTCGACTGTGGTAATCATTTCACAGTGTGTACATACACCAAAACATCACTTTGAACACCTTATATATGTACAATTTTTACCAATCATACTTCAATAAAGCTGGAAAAATCATACTTTGAAAAAGCTGGAAAAATACTTCATATTAGTATGAAGTCAAGGTAGTACATTAAAATCCAGTAATGTTAATTGGATTTGGAGGTAACATATATATTACATATATAATGTTAATGCATTTTAATGTTATGTTATACATACACACACACATATAACAAAGATTGTAGCTCTTTGAAAAAGAGTAACATTTTAGCCCAGTGCTAAGGCCAAACAAATGTGTTGGCATGTTTTAGTTCCTTAGATGTGTATTTGAGGTGTCAGAAAATCTCCAAGGGTAAGAAAACCTCAGTGCCAAAAAGTGTAGAATATGAAAGAATCACAAAAATGGCATGCACAAAATAGCCTGCTATGATGTTCAAAATATAAGAGCTAGCAGTTACTACCCAACATTTAGAATATAATGTAATGGAACATATTTCGAGCACATTTATCTTTTAATATTTCAAAGGAGAGATAAAGGCCAAAGTAACATTTTCTTTATCATTAAATTAATTGTTCTTTAAGTTGAAAAGCACATATACTCATATTTTTGTCATCTGATTTTAAACAGCAAAAAGCAATAGCTGTCAAACCGAAGTCAAGTGAATCTGTGAAAATAATTAATGAAACAATTCTAGTAAAAGCATCTTTGTTGTTCATACATGATACAGGCAGGATTGTGGTTGTGTCTGTGTACATGTGGTGGGATTGGTGGGGGAAAAGAAGTTAGTTTATTCACATGATTCTCAACATAGATATACCTTGCAAATAATTGTGCAATTCCCTGCTTTGCAGACAGAATGTCTTTGAATCAATATGTTTTATAAATACTGTATACAAAAAAATATAATTATGAACTTTTAAAGTATGTATTCACACATTAATATTCAGAACTAGAAAAGAAATTTCAGTAAGAAGAAATGTTTTGGAGATTAAAATGTAAAGGGGTTAACCAAATTTTACTAAGCCTTCTGTCCATTCTGGCTACATTTTCTTGCATTCTAAAATAAAAATATTTTGGAAATTTTGACCCCTCGCCCATATTTTTACATGAGAAGTTTTAAATGCCAAGAACTTGTTTCTCACTTTTGAAGCAGGATGCTTTCTTTAGGAAGCAAACTGTATCACATGCATTCTATTAGTTTGTATTTTATTGTATGACATTCTATTATATTTTAAAATGCATTTCTGAGCCCATGTCACTGATTTCATGATTAGTTAATGAGTTGGAAGCAGCAGTTGGAATACACTGGCTTAGGTAATGGCAGTATAAATCACATGTTGATAGAATGAAAGATGTCTTTCTACTGCCACTAACACAGTTTAATGGCCACTTGATGCCACCGTGGCAGTGTGTTACTTAAACCATATATCAATCGACATTGAAGCAACATGACCAAAATGGTTTTACCGCCATTTATAGAATAAGGTCATGAGTTTCATGCAGCCAGGATTCATTGCATTGCTGTTATAGAACTTAACATAGTTGTATTCTATTTGATGGAACCATGCTAACAATTGAGAAGATATAAACGTTAAAAACAATAATACTGTTTTGGAAAATTGATAAGTACTGTCTACATTTTACCTAGAAAAATATATGTTCAGGATTAACCAAGAAAATAATGACAAAATAATGACAAAATGCAATGAGTAGAGTCTTGCCCTTGGAATTCCCTAAAATTATTAGGAAGGCACAATGTTCTCCAGGAAATACTGGTAAATGAAAAAGCAAAGTTTAAAATAGTATGTAAGGTATGCTATCATCTGTGTAAGAAAATGAGAAAAAAACATACATATACACACACATACAATTTTTTGGCAAGAAGTACCCTGAAAACATCAACCAAAAAACTAAAAAAAAAAAATTGCTGATGATACAGAACTTCTCTGCCTATACATTTTTCTCATAATCTTAACTTTGATAATTACATACATGTTTGACACTTTCAAAAGTAAAAACAAAAAAGTACATAATATGTGCAGAATAAAGCAAATAACAGTTTATGTGAAGATTGTTAGAAGCCAAGATTTTAATGGAAGTTATTAGTATGAAGTCCAGGTAGTATATTAAAATCCAGTAATGTTCATTGGATTTGGAGGTAACAATATGAAATTTTTTCTCTAAAAACATACACAAGAATCTCTTGCTTGAAGATCAGTCATCTATTCTCAAAAGTAGATATTTATTAGCCCATTTTTGTTCTAAATGGGAACAATTATAGCGAATGGAAAGTAAACCCAAAACATAGCTATTTCCCACAAAATAATATATACCTAATAATGCCTGTAGAAAAGTGTCAAACTATCTTGATAAAATCTAAAATGTGTATTGTATCCTAATCATACAACAATTATTGCTGTTACTACATACAGTTGCTTTGCACGTAGTTACATGGACTTTGTGTATGCTGTATGAGAAATTGTTACTTTATGGTATGGTATAGCAAATAACACACAGCAATCAGAAAGCTAAAAATCCAAATTAAATAAAAGACCCATAATAAGTTTCTTCCATGCTAAAGAAGACATGATTCTTAAAGTCAAGAAGGGAGAAAGAAAGAAGGGTCAAATCAGTCATTGTTACTTGCAGAAGGCAATGGGTGGATGAAGGACAATGGGGCAATCTTAGACAAACTATTAAGAGGAATGAAGACACCTTCTCTGTGTCTAGGAGATGCTGTTGAGACTGCTAGACAGGAAAGTGTTGCTAAATCTTCAGAAATGGTGTTTCAGCTGAAGGAAGGCATGGTTGCAAAATGCAGATTTGCTTATTTTCCTGTTGAAAAATTCCTTCGTATGGTGCTGTAAGAGTTATCAGGCTAATATTAAAAGAAAGGTGTATTGTCACACTGAGTGTGACTGCAAAACTTTCTTAGCAAATGGCCTGTTTATTTACACTCAATGCACATGTTAAGATGGCTACATGGGATTTTTACTATGTTCTATCAATTTGAAATTTAACTCAACATTCTTCCAGCACAGAAAATTGTTTACAATATTGTATTGAGTGTGAAAGATGTAAGTAAATACTTCCATTTGATGTCTACACACCAACATTAGTTGAAAAATGAAGCAGTGAGAGGTTGATATATATTCTGTAAATTAAGATACTAAAAACCAAAAATCCTTCTACTGGGTAAACATTAACTGGTGAAACATTCTACAGGATATACATACATTTTTCTAGGTCTGCCTGAAAAGATCTAGTAGTGATGTGATCTGATGGCACTGAACACTTCTGATCTCAAATGATAGACTCTAAAATGCCATTTCCCAACAAAGAGACTGCTGAATAAATGTCTGATTACAGATGTGGAAGAGAAAATGAGCAAACTGAGCTTATGACATATGTTCGCCCTAGAGAGGGCTCATGTCACGCGAGCACCAACAGAGAGGGGTCTCAGGTAGCAACAGTGGGGCCATTGGACCATCAAAGGAGCAGCTGGTATACTTGATTGAGGCCTTAGGTTTATAATTTTTACTAAAACAAGGAAGGAAGGAGGGAAGAAAGGGGAAAGGAGGGGAAGAGAAGGAAGAAAGGAGGGAGGGAGAGAAGGAAGGAAGGAAAGAGCTAGAACAATAGCAGCAAAGCAAAATATCTTTGATAACTTTCTGGTGGAGTCCAGAGTGGAAATTTTCCGTTACTAGAGCCTTTACAACATGGGAATCTGTGCTTCGGAAGTAAGTCAGTAAAGATACATTTACACGGATGTTTCCTCCAGCATTGCTCAAAAAAGCCAAAATTGTAAGTGATGTAGATAATCACTTCCAAAGTGATTATTGATTTGATAAGAGATTGATAAAATAAATAATGGTACATCTTTTGTATGTAATATTACCTTGCCACTAAAAATAATGGAACAGAACTCTATTCAATGACATATAAAAATGCTCATGATATATTGTATAATGGAAAAAAGAAATTTCAGAGTAAAATAAAAAGTTTTACCTTATTTATTTCACAAACTAAAACCCTACATGATTATACAAATCACTGTGTTTGCCTTAAAAAGGTAAAAGTCCAGTATCCTGTATGACAATACCGCAACAGTGATCACTTCTGGGATTGGAATTTGATAGCAGTTGTGGGTAGAGAGTTTGGTAGAAAATACATTTTATTTCATACTTCTTATCTTTTTAAAGCTTTTTTATAAGCATGTATTCTGATACATATGTGAGCAGCTATGGTTCCTTCTAGGTACCAGTTATACCATTGCTTAACCTCGTCTATTTCTTCCAAAGGTGTCAGGCAGCAAACAAGACTTGCCCCACCAATTACATGTGGAATAATCACATCTGCAGATGCCTGGCTCAGCAAGATTTTATGTTTTCCTCAAATGCTGGAGATGGTAAGAAGAATGATGTTTTAAAGACTAAATGCCAAGGGTCTATATTGTGATTAACGTACTTTAATATTAAAACCATATGTACAATATTCATCATTCTTTCAAATAAGTGACTTAAAAAATAGTACATTTTCTACTTGACATTGGTATTACTTTGAACTCCTTTATAAAGGAATATACCCATGTTTGTGCACAACAATTTGATGGCAGACATACAAAGGAAGATGCTTTTAAAAGTTTTTAATTGTTTTACGCCACACCCAGAACCAAGTAAGGTATAGTAAGATGCTCTGACTGCGTTTGTCTATACTCAGCAGATGGATTCCATGACATCTGTGGACCAAACAAAGAGCTGGACGAAGAGACCTGTCAATGTGTCTGCAAAGGGGGGCTTCGGCCTGCCAGCTGTGGACCCCACAAAGAACTAGACAGAAACTCATGCCAGTGTGTCTGTAAAAACAAACTCTTCCCCAGCCCATGCGGGGCCAACCGAGAATTTGATGAAAACACATGCCAGTGTGTATGTAAAAGAACCTGCCCCAGAAGTCAACCCCTAAATCCTGGAAAATGTGCCTGTGAATGTACAGAAAGTCCACAGAAATGCTTGTTAAAAGGAAAGAAGTTCCAACACCAAACATGCAGGTAAGAGATCCTCATAAAGGGTATGAATTGCTCTTACTAGAAATATGTTCTAAAACAAAAGCAGCTTTCTTAAATACAGTAACAATTGCTTGTTAGAATGAGCCCAGTAAGTTCTGCATGACAAAATCTTACTATTATTTTTTTAATCAATGCTAAACCTTCATGAGACTGGATTTGCTTCCAAAAAAGCAAGACAGGAGGCTTGAGGATCAAAACTAGATCCAAGCTCAGAATATACTCTAAATTAGTGGACCCTGGGGGATCTTCTCAAAATACATATAGGAGATCCACTCTGCCCTCACCAAAAGGTATGATGCTGCCTTCAGCCATAATTTAGGACAACTGTTCTAAATGCAGACAATTTTTATGTAAAACTTACAAAGGATAGGATAGTACCATTGACTGTAGATAGAATTCTATCTGGAAATAAAAATATATAAGTATTTGATAGAATTAAAGAAATACATGAATATGTTGTTAAAGGTTTTCAAAACTCATTTCTTAAACTTGGTTTTGTTCTCTTCTTCACCAAGAAAAAAAAAATGAAGTCACTGGACTCAAACACATTCAGTGTTAATCCCTGAACCTCTTCCTCTTTAATCCCAGAGAATAAGGTGATCCTACTATTTAAGTCAGACCTGTGCATTTGACATTTTCTCCACATTCCTTCAACATTGCTTCATGACCTTCCTTCATTCTTCTGTCATTTTAACATCTTCAGCTCTACTTTTTTCTCCCTCAGTTTACAAAAGTTTCCAAATTTCTTCTATTTTATTAGCCTCTTACTGTGAAGCTGAGCATACTTTAGCAACCCAGCTCTGTCTTCTTCAAAGCTGCTCAAAAATTAGGCATTGTTTTCATCTACCATTTATTCAGCCACCTGTAACCTGGTTTATGCCCTAGAGTGCTATGTTAAACCTCTAAGGTTTCATCAGCCTCATAGTTGCCAAACCCAGTAGAGAATTGTGTCCTTAGGTAACCTTAGGTAACCTGTCCTTTCTGTGGCCTTTTTCTTTAAGCTCACCTCTCCTGTGACATGACATTGTACTTTCTTAGTTGTCTACTTAATTTTCAGACCATTTGTTTTCAGTCACTTTCACTGGATTCTCTTTTCACATCCACATCCACTTTTTTCATATGGGTAGATAATATTCTTTTTAACAGAAAAAGCTTGTATTTCATTTATTTACTAACTTCACTAATATTCATTATTGCTTTTTCCACATTATATAAAGAGTCCATCTTTTTATTCTCAAGAGTTTTGTGTTCTTATTTTAATGTATATTTCTGATGGTTTTCCTACACTAACATTTTAACCACTGCATAAAAAGGCTTCAGTGAATCTAGCTATCTCATTGATTATATTTTTCTTCCCATATGTTGCAAAGTACATCATAGGAATCCTTTTATTTTGAAAAAGAACTTTTTGAAGTACGAGCGTGACTAATATGTAGGAATAGGTGTACAGGGAAAAATGCAAGATGACCTGAGGTGGAAATCAAAAGTGCAACAAGAAAACATACAAAATTTGGTTTTGACGTTTCATTTATTTGGCTCTAGAAATGAGGTCATGTCTAGTTAATTTTTCTTAAAATTTGCAAATGCAGATTAATACTTATGACTACAGATATTCCTTTACTAAAAAGGGATATGATACTTAATGATCCAGAAAAGCTGTTAATTAAGGCAATGGACCAAAGAATATGTACTCTGCCCACTATATTTTGTAATAAATATTAAGAAAGAATGAGGAGAATATATACTTTCCAAATATGATATTTTCTCTTTTGATCCAATTTATATCACAAAACCTGGAATTATACACTTAGAAAAGTGAACATAGGATAAGTTGCAGTAAACAGAAAGTCTTTACGAAAGAATGTATACTATTAGGAGAAATGCAACGACAGAAATATTGTCTAAGTTCATCTAAGAGTTCTGTAGAAAAGGCTGGTTGTGGTGGCTCATGCCTGTAATCCCAGCACTTTGGGAGGCCGAGGCAGGCGGATCACAAGGTCAGGAGTTCAAGACCAGCCTGGCCAATATGGTGAAACCTGTCTCTACCAAAAATACACACACACACACACACACACACACACACACACACACACACACACGCAACTAGCTAGGCGTGGTGGCACGTGCCTGTAGTCCCAGCTACTTGGGAGGCTGAGGCAGGAGAATCACTGGAACCCAGGAGGCGGAGGTTGCAGTGAGCTGAGATGGTGCCACTGCATTCTAGCCTGGGCAAAAGAGGGAGACTCCATCTCAAAATTTTTTAAAAAAGAGAATTCTATAGAAAAATATGATGGCAGGTTAGTCTGTATGCAGACATAAGAGTTTCAGATGCTAGACTCACTCAGAAGGATACAATATAAAACATAGCTTAATAAGGCTTAAAAAGATGTAATATCTCTATCCTTCTGAAGACAGTAGTATACACATTCTGAAAATATCATTTTGGTTATTACAGTAGGAATTGAAATATAGTTCTTTCTCAAAAGGATTCCTGTGAGGTACTTTGCAGCACATGGGAAGAAAAATATAATCAGTGAGATAGTTAGATTCACTGAAGCCTTTTTATGCAGTGGCTAAAATGTTAGTGTAGGAAAACCATCAGAAATATACATTAAAATAAGAACACAAAACTCTTGAGAATAAAAAGATGGACTCTTTATATACTATGGAAAGAGCAATAATGAATATTAGTGAAGGTAGTAAATAAATGAAATACAAGCTTTTTCTGTTAAAAAGAATATTATCTACCCGTATGTAAAGAGTGGATATAAAAAGAGAATCCAGTGAAAGTGACTGAAAACAAATGGTCTGAAAATTAAGTAGTCAACTAGGAAAGTACAAGGTCATGACACAGGAGAGGTGAGCTTAAAGAAAAAGGCCACAGAAAGGACAGGTTACCTAAGGACACAACTCTCTACTGGGTTTGGCAACTATGAGGCTGACGAAACCTTAAACAGAGGTTTTATATTGAATCCTTCTTGAGTGAGTCTAGTATACATTTAAAATCTGAAATTCTTATGTCTTCATGCAGACTAACCTGCCATCATATTTTTCTACAGAATTCTCTCTTTTTTTTTTTTTTTTTTTTTTTTTTTTTTTTTTTTTTTTTTTTTTTTTTTTTTTTTTTTTTTNACTTTTAATTGCATTTATTTTAATGCTGAATTTACTCCCGTGCCATAAGTTTTTGTTTATTTAGTTTCTTCTGGGATATCTTTTTCTTCTGGGCAACCTCCTCTTCTGGTTTAGGAACAATTTGTTCCTTTTCACTAAAGATTGTCTCGATGTGGCAGGGAGAGATCATGTATGAGTTAATCCAACCATGAGCTCTGTAGGTCCGTCAGCACATCCTAGGTGCTTTGTTCACTTCAAGATGCTCAATGACCAGAGAATCTACATCTAAACCCTTAAGTTCAGCATTACTCTCTGCATTTTTTTTTTTTTTTGAGATGGAGTCTTCCTCTTTTGCCCAGGCTGGAATGCAGTGGCACCATCTCAGCTTACTGCAACCTCCGCCTCCTGGGTTCCAGAGATTCTCCTGCTTCAGCCTCCCAAGTAGCTGGGACTACAGGCACGTACTACCACGCCCAGCTAGTTGCGTGTGTGTGTGTGTGTGTGTGTGTGTGTGTGTGTGTATTTTTGGTAGAGACAGGTTTCACCATATTGGCCAGGCTGGTCTTGAACTCCTGACCTTGTGATCCGCCTGCCTCGGCCTCCCAAAGTGCTGGGATTACAGGCATGAGCCACCACAACCAACCTTTTCTACAGAACTCTTAGATGAACTTAGACAATATTTCTGTCGTTGCATTTCTCCTAATAGTATACATTCTTTCGTAAAGACTTTCTGTTTACTGCAACTTATCCTATGTTCACTTTTCTAAGTGTATAATTCCAGGTTTTGTGATATAAATTGGATCAAAAGAGAAAATATCATATTTGGAAAGTATATATTCTCCTCATTCTTTCTTAATATTTATTACAAAATATAGTGGGCAGAGTATATATTCTTTGGTCCATTGCCTTAATTAACAGATTTTCTGGATCATTAAGTATCATATCCCTTTTTAGTAAAGGAATATCTGTAGTCATAAGTATGGATTTGCATTTGCAAATTTTAAGAAAAATTAACTAGACATGCTTTCATTTCTAGAGCCAAATAAATGAAACGTCAAAACCAAATTTTGTATGTTTTCTTGTTACACTTTTGATTCCCACCTCAGGTCATCTTGCACTTTTCCCTGTACACCTATTCCCACGTTAGGCATGCTCATACTTCAAAAAGTTTTTCAAACATAGCTCCAATTCTCACTAGGTGTGGTAGCTCACACCTGAAATCCTAGCACTTTGGGAGGCCAAGACTGGCAGATCACTTGAGGCCAGCAGTCCAAGACCAGTCTGACCAACATGGCAAAACCCTGTCTTTATGAAAAATACAAATCTTACCTAGCCATGGTCGCACACATTTGTTGTCCTAGCGACTTGGGAGCCTGACACACGAGAATGGCTTGAATCCGGGAGGCGGAGGTTGAAGTGAGCTGATATTGCACACTGCAATCCAGCCTGGGTGACAGAACAAGACTGTGTCTCAAAAAAATGAGATTCCAATTCACTGGAGCAACAGGGCAGGGTACATATTGACCAAGTGGTAATTTGTCCTCTCACTGCTATTGGAAACTGGAAGTCTAGGATGGGAGAAGGGGGACCCTCGCTGCTGAGTTTTGTCCCTCTCACCCACGTGCCCCAGAATGCCTCTGTTTCACCTGGAGCCCAGGTAGAAAGGAAGAGTTAGCCACCATCGTGCAGCCAGCTGCCAAGTAGAGACACAAGAGTGAGGGTGAGGCTGTCCACTGAGGACCACAGTTCTGCCAACATGGCTGGGTTTAATTCCCTGGAAGTCTGGGTCCCATACAAGTCCCTGACTCGGGTGAATTCTGCCATGCTTTTGTGATCACAGCAAGTCAGCAGACCTTCAGTATTCACTTTCAAAATTTCTGTTTTATGTTTCTTTCATCCATGAAGCAAAGAGCACTTCAAAAGAACTAATGCTTACAATACCTCATCCTTCCGTTTGTTCAATCAGCAAGCAAGACTTTGATTTTAAGGCTTTCCATTCCTCTTAAATGTTGTAATTCTAAGCAGAAACAAACTTTTATGAGCCTATGAACAATTTCATCACAAAATTAGTAATTTTGTTCTAGCCTGGAATTTAGAAAAGCACAGAAATTCCTTGGTGGCGTAATGAATCCGTTGGCTTGATCTTTAACATAAGTGTGTTCTTGTTTGTTCTCCTAGCTGTTACAGACGGCCATGTACAAACCGCCAGAAGCCTTGTGAGCCAGGATTTTCATTTAGTGAAGAAGTGTGCCGTTGTGTCCCTTCATATTGGAAAAGACCACATATGAACTAAGACTGTACTGTTTTCCAGTTCATCGATTTTCTATTACAGAAAACTGTGTTGCCACAGTAGAACTGTCTATGAACAGAGAGACCTTTGTGGGTCCATGCTAACAAAGACAAAAGTCTGTGTTTCCTGAACCATGTGGATAACTTTACAGAAATGGACTGGAGCTCATCTGCAAAAGGCCTCTTGTAAAGACTGGTTTTCTGTCAAGACCAAACAGCCAAGATTTTTCTCTTGTGATTTTTTTTTAAAGAATACTATATAATTTATTTCCACTAAAAGTATTGTTTCAGCATTCATTTTTATAGCAACAATAATTGGTAACTCACTGTGATCAATATTTTTATATCATGCAAAATATGTTTAAAATAAAATGAAAATTGTGTTATAAGCTGGTAAGTTCAGTCCATTATCATCTTACATGATAAACAAAAACTACTATCATGAAGACACTGATCCTCCTCTGTTCTTTTTTCTTCTCTAACCGTATGTCAGATATGTATTACTGTGATAAAAAGTATGCTCCTGTAAAAGAAAGTGTCGGGGGACAACAGAATGCTATTGCTTCATCTCTTAATATGTTTAATGATTATAAACATTTTAGCACACGATACTTTTGAATTTATAACCAAGTGAATCTATATGTAATATCTTGTAAGATAGACTGCTTAGCATTGTGATTAAAAGCCATTCAGTGCTCTGAGAACATTCAGAATCTTACCTTGGTAGAAAAGCCTGCAGTATATATTAAAATGGCTTTAAAATATATTCTCAAAAATAATCTTTTCCAAATATTTGACTTCTTCTGGCCAGGTAAATTACTTTTTGTGAGTGTAAGTCCTCCTATCCAATACATTTAAAATAAAGTAAAAATAATATCTAAACGCTCATGCATGTTTAAAAGGAAACATGTCAGCTACACATCAGAAGTGCTAATTTCATTTTCAAAAAAGGCATTACACTAAAATACCTTTATCTTTTTTTTTTTTCCTCAGACAGAATCTGATCTTGACTCACTGCAACCTCTGCTTCCCGGGCTCAAATTATTCTGCCTCAGCCTCCCGAGTAGCTGGGATTACAGGCATGTGCTACCACACCTGGCTAATTTTTGTATTTTTGGTAGAAATGGGGTTTCTCCATGTCAGCCAGTCTCGTCACGAACTCCTGACCTCAAGTGATCTGCAGACTCCGGCCTCCCAAACTGCTGGGATTACAGGCATGAGCCACTGTGCCCAGCCCAAAATACCTTTGTCTAAAACAAAGATTTTGCATGCATAAATACAACCAAATAAGTGGTTTGTTTGTTGACAGATATTTAATTATATACTAGTATGTCATAGCTACTGTATAAAAATAATTTGTCCTGAAAAGAGAAAATATTCCTTGTAAGCATGTAGAGATAACTCTCTAAGAGGTAGCAAATTTATTTAATTTAAAACATTTTTAACTGGTATAGGTGACAAATCATTATGACACAAAATATTACTATCAATATGTTTTGCTACAAAATTTTGTTTTCTTTCAAACTGTTTAATTAGGTAGTCAATGTCCTGAAAATATCCTGAGTGTTTTCAATACTAACTTTAAAAAATGGTTTTATATGCAACAGTTACTAAATTCCTGCTGTGTGCTCTGTACAACGTTATCATCTATTTCATGATGTAAAGTTTTTCATGTCCTAGAAAAGAAAAGGAAAGAGGTCTTCCAGAACACTCTCATTTACAATTATAGTCTATTTATTTTTTAGAAACAATGGCCCTGAAGCCTGTAAGCACTCAACTTATACATTGGCAATTCTACGTACTAAGGTCTAGAAAGTTTTCAAACTTAAGAACAGAAAAAAAAAAGAATTTAAGTAAATTTGACAACAGCTGATTACAAAATGAAAATTGGAATCAAAATACCCCTTTTTAAGGGTATTTTATAAGATATTGTCTTACAGGGAATCACAATCCCTAGTATATAAAATGCTCATCATCTTTGAAATTCAGCTATGATTCAGTCATTTTTTTATCTTATTTGAACCAAAGGGACTACAAATAAACATTATGTAATCTGTTACTGTTGATCTGGTCAATCATTTTTAGATTTCATACATTTAAAATATATTAGCTAAATTAGAAATAAAGTATAGTCTAAGTTTCAGTAAGCACCCTGAGGCCATGTAAAGAATAGTAGAACCTGATTCAATGACTGTTACATGTCATCAGGTTTAAAAACAAACTAAACCCTGTGCTAAACATTAGTTGTCTTGGGTAAGCCAAAAAATGAAAACACTAAATCAAAAAGTAAAGCCTAAAGTATGCCAGAAAAACTATTTAATTCTGTCCCTGGAGATGTAATAATTTTGAACAAAAGTAAGAGTGTCATGAACAAAAATAATGCATTGCCAAACATACTTGCAATTTTATGTGAACCATGAAAATCCTTCTTCAGCACATTATAATGAATGAGATGTGGTGCAGCCCGTCAAGAAGATGGACTAAGGATGAAGCTAAACAGTTAATTAGAAGATTAACAAATGTGATGCAGCAAAAAAGCTACAAAATGCAGTGAGAATATTCCTAAGCTTTGCAGAATAGTCCCGAGATACCAATTCAGTCAACCTAAATGATAAAGTTAAGAAAACTGTGAAAGCTCACAGCAGTTGCTATCTCTGAGCAGTTAATACATCCAAATCTTAGAAAGTTTGTAAACAGAATTTTATGTCCAGAAACCTAATAGTGTATACTCAGTTTAAAAGACTCAAGGAAAAAATGTTTTGGTGAGCAGTTGTGTAAGATTTAGTGTCCAGATTTTTTTGGAGAAAGCTTTTGACATTTACTGATTGCTTGATTAAAACAGATTCCATTATTAGAATTTCTAAAAATAACCTTTGTTCTTTATGTTCACACCACTCAGAACAGAAGTTTGAGTGGCAAATGTAAGACTGAATTCACCAGGGTACCTAGAATGCACTTTAAGGAAAAGAGAAAGGGTCATGAACTTATCTTTATGCGCTAGGCTTTTTCAAGGGATACTCCGCTTATGAAGGAATTTTACTGAATGGATAAGAGAGAAGAAGCAGACACAACAGGAGAGAGAGTCCATATTACAGCAATTGTTTCAGCACACTGGCAAAGCTTACAAAAATCCTTACTTACATGCTGAAATTCCCATGTTCATCTATCTAGGAAGTACTGGGGCTAAGAGTATACACAGTTTTCTTGGCCCACACTCTTCTACATTGCTATGCTATCCCTGGGATCTGACCTTTCATTAGCAGATTTTTCAGAGAATATTTTTTAGAGAATTTACTTTTTAAATTAAAAGTGAGAATAACATAAAAGTAGTATTTCACTCTGCTACAGAAGAGCATGAATGTATCTGATTTTTTTCTAGATGAGTTCTAGAAAGTCCTGAGAAAATCCATTACTGTTTCCTAAAAGTACATATTGTATATCAAAACAACCATTTAAGGAAGTCAGTGACACATATCATGTCATAAAGTACTTATGAAAGAATTGCTAATTTATCATTCTTATGTTTGAATTGTTGGTGTATATGGATATGTTTAAAGTGGGAAATAACAATCTGCTAACTTATGAAAGTGTGAGCCCATTTCATATGGTTTTTCCGTTCCCTAACTAACAACTTCTTGTCTAAAGAAGCATACTGTAATAGAAGGAGCTCTGGATTGGGAATCCTAAACTCAGTTTTTAATCCTTTCTTTTCTGTGACCCTGGGCAAATCACCACCTCCTGAGTATCAGCATGTTAATCGGTGAAGGAAAGAGAAGGAAAGAGTTGGATTAAAATTGTGTATGAAATCCTGGCTCTGAAGTTACAAAGTTTGTTCTAAACTACACACAAGGAGAAATCAAAACCAGAACATTTTAAGAACTACGGGGGCACAGCATTCTTGAGATTACTGAGCCCACTGAGAGGAAATATTTATCTTTTAAAAATATTGCATGTAAGAAATTATAATGAAAAATCTTATCAGTTTTCTGTAATTCCAATTCAATTCCTAAATCCTAACACATTTCCATAGCTCAAAGCATCATTTTTCCTGATTTCTTCATATTAAAGGTGATCACACATACTTTCAAAAAATTATTTCCAAACATCTTGAAAAAAATTAAACCATGCAACGTTCATAAGGAAGCAAAAATTAAGACTTCTTGTGCAATCCTTCCAAACCTCAATCAGATACACATATACTGTATTCAGTCCAGGCAAGGCCTTTGAAGCAAAAATTGATTTCTAATGTCACCATCTGGCATTCTGATGATAGGATTTGGGTAGGAATTGGACCTTTGTCTCTCTGGAATTTACTATCTAATAATTGCAAGTACAGAGGTCAAAATGCTGGTTGTTGTCCATAGACTTACCCACCAGGACTGATTATATATTAGACTTGATGAAACATTACGATGACTGTCCACATTAACAGTGAAAACTGTTTTGATTGGATAGAAATGACAGTGAAACACTATTAAAAACTTTAAAATTCACTAAGTAATGAATGCCCAGCTAAGAAAGAATTGAAATTGTCTCAAACAAAAATACTTAATCTTATAAAGAAAATTTCTAAATGTTTTTAAAAGGAGAAAAAAGTTTCCAGAAATATTCAACACCATAGGACTTTATAACAATATTTTTAATGTGCTGTTAAAGTCATGTGGAATTGTTTTCATCATTTTCAGGCAGTTATGGATCCTCTTAGCCTTTTTGAAAATTCATTTTGTTATATTCAGATATATATATATATATATATATATATATATATATATATATAGTTAGTATAGCTCAGTCCAGTAATTTTTTTAAGACAAAGTCTCACTCTATCACCCAGGCTAGAGTAGAGTGGTGTGATCTCAGCTTACTGCAACCTCCACTTCCAGGGTTCAAGTGATTCTCCTGCCTCAGTCTCCCAAGTAGCTGGAATTACAGGCACCCGTCACCATGCCAGGCTACTTTTTATATTTTTAGTAGAGATGAGGTTTCACAGGGTTGGCCAGGCTGGTCTCAAGTGATCCTGACCTCAAGTGATTTGCCTGCCTTGGCTTCCCAAAGTGCCGGGATTATAGGCGTGAGCCACCATGCCTGGCCAGTTAAATTTCTTTATTGGCAATTTTATTACACCTATGAAAAAAGCAACTCTGTCCATTCAATTTTTAAAGGACCCCTTTTCTTTGGTATTGAACTTATAGACTAATATCCACTTTAAGACAGGACTTCTTAATTGTGATGATACCTTTGAAGCTCCTTCTCCTCACAGAACACATAGTAAGTAAAGGACCACAGACAGACACTTGGAATTGCTAATAAAAGGAAGAGAAAAAGGAAGGGCAGAAGGAAATGAAGAAAAGGAGAAAGCAGGAAGGAAAAGCATGGAACAAATGAGAAA